TATGTAATAATGTTTATAGTTTTTTTTTTTACTTTTTTATAGAATAAAATGACATCATAATCACAAGAAATTTTGATGTATTGACTAAATAATACCTCCATGATCATATTAAAATTTTGTTGAAATTTTGTTAAAATTGTGTTGAGAAATCATATTGTTTTATTAATTTTTAACTAATTTTTGTTGAACTTGTGTTAAAATTGCTTACTGATTTTTTTTACTAAATTGTGACAAATAATTTTATAATGATTTTTATTTATTACTGAGGTGATAATTTTTTATTATTGATCTACTCTTAATTGTCTGATGTATTATATTTATTAATTTGCATAAATTATTTTTGGATTGATCTAATTTTATAAATAATACGATGTATTATTATTTTGACTTTATGTTTTAAATACAAATCAGAATTTTGATTATAAAGAGTTCTTTTTGTATTATTTTAATTATGAGTTTTGCTTGTTATATTTAGATTAATTTAATTTTTTATAAATAATATGATGCGTAATTATAATATGATACTTAAATTATTATTTTGAAATTTTGTTTTTTAATACAAATCAGAATTTCAATTAAGCTTGTATTATTTCAATTATGAGTAAAGAATTTTACAAGATATCAAATCAAATGGATAAATTTATTTATAAAGGAAAGTATTTTTACTAATGTATAATTTTTCACCTTTTGAAATTTAAATCCACTTTTAAATTACTTTAAATTACTTCTTTAAATCATATTTTTTTTATAAACATAAAAATGACTATAAGAATAATTTGAAAGGATAATAAAATAGACTTATTAGTCAAAAAAAGAAGGAGGAGAAATGAAGAGTATCATATAAAGTATAGAGGTAATAAAACAGGATTTTGGAGAAGTGTAGTTTGACAAATCAATCAAAGATTAGAGTTGTTGTAAATTACGTTACAATGATAAGTTACAATGTAAGTTACATGTAAGTTATATGTGACTGTGATAAGTTACATTTATTATATATGTAATGCAGGTCAAAATTTAGATAAATCTGGTCAAATTTTTCAAATTTAAAATTAATACTATATATTATAATATGCAAAAATGAATATTATTTATTATAAAATATAAGATATACAATTAATATGCTATTCAAAATCTAATTCTTTATAATCAAATAAAAATGAATCCTCCTAATTATGTTCTTCTAAATCATCTATTAATATTGTATCATTTGAATTATTATTGATTTCTATTTCAACATTTTTTTTTTCAAACTTTTTAACTGATAATGATCATTGCAATTTTCACAAAATTTTAAGATTCCAATATATAAACACAATTTTTTCTACTCTTTCATTATGTAATTGATTGCGTAATTTAGTATAAATAAAATTAAAAGCTGACCAATTCCGCTTACTAGCAGCTGAGGTTACAGGTATCGAAAGAATTTTAAGAGCCACTTGACTTAATATTGGATATCGTGCCTTTAATAAATTTCACTAATTTATTGGCTTTTCTTTTATATTACCCCACAAATATCTTTTTGCAAATCCACCTGTTTGGCTAACATATTCTGCTAATTCATTTAATATTTGACTAGCATTTTCTTCTCCTGCAAGTCTAATAATTTCTTCTTCAATAACATTATCCCATTGTTATGCATCAAGCATTCTACCTTTATATCGTGAATCTAATTTATATGCAACCATAATTGCAGGATTATACATAAAGTTATTTCAACGTATTTTGCCGAAATTATTACATTATCTTGAACTTGTTTTAAAATAATTGCATTATTTTTAATTTCAGATTCCAATTCTCGTAATTTAACAAATGCTGATGAAAGAAATGGTTCATCACTTTCAAGTTGATTAATAAAGATAACAAAGGGTTTTAATAGGTTATGTAAATCCTTTAAATCTTTTCAAAAACTTTCGCTACTAAAATTAAGTACAATATTTTCATTAATTTCTATTTCTTTAGTCAAAATAAATCGCAAAGCTGCTTTAGTTTGAAGAATATGATCAATACAATAAAAAGCTGATCCCCATTATGTATCAATAGTTAATACTAAAGCAATTATACATCCATACTTTTCTAATTGAAGCCGATGAAGTGTTGCTAAAGGAATTTGATGATTACGAAAATATTGTACAACTTCCTTTCCTTTTTCTAAAATTGATTTAGCCTAATCAATTTTTAAAATATCTTTTATCCAAAGATTAATACCATGTGCCCAACAATTAAGAAAAACTTTATTAGAATATTCAGTTTTAAGAATCCTCTATGCAGCTTTTATATTAGAAGCATTGTCAGTAATGACAACTGCAAATTTATCAACGTCTGCTTGTTCTATTGTAAGTTTTATACCTTGCGCAATATTTTCTGCAGAATAACGTTCTTCTTTGGTAGGAATTGACTTATAAAAAATAGGTTTCAGTATAGTAATCATATAATTGATGATAGGATCTTTATTAATATTAGACCACCCATCAGTTGTGAGACAAAAATATTGTATTTCATTAAGTAAATAATTTGTAACAGTCCTGATATCCTTACATTCTTAATCAAGAAGAGTGGTTAAAAGGCTTTAGTGAATAGGTAATTTGAATAAAGGACAAGCTTTTGCAAAAAAAGCTTTCATATCTTCGTTTTCAAGAATGTTAAAAGAAATACCTGTGGAATAAATTGCATACGCAAATAAACTTTCTAATTCCTTTTGGTCAGTTGTCGTCATTTTAGTAATAAAACTATTTATTGTCATTTGTTGTCGTTTAAAAGTTTGTTTAGGTGAAGGAGTAGGTATTTCTATTATATTAGCTGAAAGAGTCTGCAATGCATAATCGTTATAGTGACTTAGCAACTGTGATGTATTTTTTACCCACTGTTTATTACATGTTTTACATTTATAATATTGCTTTCCTTGAGAATTAAGTTGTATATCATATCCTTGCCAAAAATCACCTTTTAATTGAGACATAGTATATAATAAAGTAACAACGTGGTCAAAAATAACAAAAAAATACGAAAAATATCACGTTTGCAACGTTGAAAACTACATATTCGTGAAAAAATTTTTAATAGAAAATCGCTGATCACATTTTTTATTTTTATTTTTTAAGATACGTAACTTACTGGTAAGTTATACGCTAAATTCGATAAGTTACATAAGACCTTATAAGATACGGTAACTTAACAACCCTAGCAATATCTTTGTGATCTTTAAAGAGAATTTTGTATATAAATTGCAGATTCTCTTCAAGAATCATATACATTCAAAATGAACTTTCAGATTAATCTGAAATTTTTCAGTTCAGTTCAGATTTTTTTCAATTCAGATTGAATTATAATCTGAACTGAACCAAAATTTTTTGATTTATTTTTTTACAATCTGAAACTGATCTGAACTGATTTGAACTGAAAAATCTTCAGATTAATCTGAACTGTTCAAAGCTTTAATAAAAAATTAGAATGATATATTCTAAAATTACTAGGCTCATATGAAGATACTATATATTAAAAAAATGTTAAAAGTCATACACTTACTATAATTATTTGTACTATAATTATATTTTTTATTACATAAAATATATGCATTATTCTTTTTTGTCTCTTCATATTCTACTATGAAAGGTCTATTTTCTTTTAGTAGGATACTCATTCATATAAAATTTATATATTTTCTCACAATATTAATAGCTTCAATGAAAGGCTTGATATGAAAATAAATATTATATTATAATACAGAATTAAGACATATCCTAAATTCCGCATGATTTTGTAAAACTTGACTTTTAAATGAAAAGACTAAGTCAATTTTAGTTATAAATTTATAGTATTTAAAAGGTATACAGATGATCTTGCAAGCTCTTTTGATATAATAGATGTAAAAAATATGAAATAAGGTGTATTAAAAGTATCAGGTCCTATTATTGTATCTATTAAAGTGATCTTATTATAAAAGAAAAGAATTTATTACATATTAGTCATAATGCACATAACATATTAAGTTGATTTTAATATAATTAATATTTAATCATATTTAATTTATATAGTTACAAACTAATCATACTGTTTACATGTAACTTATCATTTAAATGAGGCTAATTTAGACAAAAAATTTGGATATCTTTCAAAAATTACTTTTAAAAATTTTACAGGTTTCTAGTTTCAGATGATTAATCTCACATGATGAAATTTTCATCCTCTATACTATGATCGTAAACTTGAGTTTATTTTTAAAGTATTGCAAATAAGATAATATTCTAACTTATCTTAGAAATACAACTTTGCTAATTCAGGATTATAAGAGAACTGATTCTCATTTTCGCAGTATCATGAGCTAATGTAATCTATAATTTCTATGTTTTCTATTACAAATAGGACATGGTGAACTTTATAGCTAAAGTAATACAAAATTATAATTATCAATCCCTCTAAAATTATTTGCAAATTTCAAGTATGAAAAATGCTTTAAGACAGATTTAATAATTAATTCTGAATCAGGTCTAGCTTCTAAAATGATAGGCTTAAAATCAGAAGTCTAAAGCTTTGCTGACAGATTTATCACAACTTCTAATAATTATTATGGCTCATTTTCAGCTTCTTTTTTATATCTTTTGTATAAATTAAAATGAATCTTATCTGTTAAAATACTTGGTAATCTACTTAATTTGGCATGCCAATTCAGATATTTAGAGGTTAGTATTTTATTAGACTTAGTCAATTTTTTTTTTATATTATTGCAAACAATTTAAATTCTTTTTTCTGTCAATTTAAAAAAAATTAAAAATTTTCAGATAGAAAGCTATCTAATATTTCTTATTATACTTCTAAAAAAATAATTAGATCATATTCTGTGCTTATAGAGTAGGAAGGACTATGCAGTTATCTCAATTTCATACTATTTACACTTAATAAAGTAAGTTTCAGCTTTATACCTGCCTTCTATTTCTTCATCTTCATGACCTAATTTGTATAATGGACAAATATGATCCCTTTAGAATTTCTGCATGATGTTTCATCAGTAATCCCATAATAATCAAAATTTTCATTACTACATTCTTTATATAGATTAGGATATTGATCTAATATCTTTTTGCAAAAATATGATCAGTCATAAATTAGCTTAAATTGGAATGTGAATGGTATACTTACCTAGCAAAAATGACTGACTTTTTCAAAATCAGAATAATAATACATACATTAGCGTCATAAGAAAAATTTTTTTATTAATTAAATTGATTTTGGTATTATAAGTAACCTTGTATAATATAATAAATTGTATTTTTTTTTGAAAATCTTATAAAATTTGGATTTTTATTGAATTTTATATTACAAAATTTATTTGTAAAATTTGTAATTTTTATTAAATTTTTCGCTTATAATTAAACTTTTGATTTTTTGGTATTAATTGAGTTTTAGTAACTAAGTAAACTTTAGTATAATAAAACATAAATTTTTAGATTTATTGAATAAATGCTTATAGAGATCATTGTAATACCGTTAAATGCTAAATTGAGATGATTGTTATATGAATTTTGAAACTAGTAATATAAAAGTCGTGTCTAAGTAAAGTTCTAATTTTAATAATTATTATAAATAATTGTAATAAGTAAAGTTCTAAATTATGATATGAACTACAAATTATTATAAATAATTTATATATATAATCAATATTTATTGAATAAATTATATTTATATATAAAATTAAAATATTAATAGTCACTTCTAAGTAAAGTCTAATTTTCATTAAATTTCATTAAATTTCAACATAATTAAGGTTGTAGGCTTAATCACGAAAAGTAAATCTATATAAGATAGTATATATTTATAATTAATATCTATTAAATGTGATAGGGTTTTCTATTAGTAACAATGAAATGAAAAAATTTTGAATTTTTTTAGCTACTAAGCAAAAATGGTTGAATTATAAAATTGAATGAAAATAATATTATAATATTAAACTGTAAGTTCTTATCTATCTAATAATATAAAATTTATATAAATTAAAATAAGGTATTTAATCGTAAAATTATTGTTAATTGGTCATTTTTGCATTGACACTTAATGTAGTAAGAACCCTTTATGCATTATCCAACTACCTTCCTATTGCTATGTTCTTTTTTACATCCAAGGTATAAGCCTGAATTTTTAAATTCATATGCATCATTATATTTGTCACTATTATACAAGGATAGGTAAGGATATTCTTTCAAAGCCACACTGATATAAGGAGTATAAGCATCATATAGGATAACCAGCATGTTCTTTTTGGTTGAGAAATTTGTGATATACTCGTCTTGACAAATAGCTCTGATACTATATCTGGTAATTTTTTCAGGACAGACTCATGGCTTTTCTCAAGTGGAACTTTAGGTCTCACTTTTTCTACATTTTTACATTCAGAATATGAGTTAAGTTTATTTAGTTTTATATCAGTATAGTCAGATCTGCTAAAATAATCTAGAATAATTTAGACTTGAGGCTTAGTAAACTTTGAAATAGAATCTGTACTGTAAAACTTGATATTCTTAATTCTATCTACTTCTATCTTTTCGAATAATTTGTAAATCTATATGGCCCTTTGGATTCTTTTATGTAAAATTTCTAATATTGTTCTAAAAAGATATTTTATTATATTCTGAAATAGAGAAGTGATCTATGAATTATAATCTGCACAGATAACACAAATATTCAGATAGACAGATCATTTTTATGTATTATAAATTTATGCAAATATCTGTGGATTATTTGATGAATATCTGTGAATACTTATATATTAATAAATAATTCGTGAGAGTAATAAAATTTTTTTAAAAAATTCTTAAGTTCAAATGATGCAAAATCGATTATTTGATACAAAAAATATAATGACAAAATATATTTTTTTAAAAAAAATCATTTTTCCTCCCTTCCACCTATCAGATACTCACTCTTTATATAGTTTTATGTTACGTAAATTGATTTAGAATCACGTAAATAATAATATTGCGTTGTTTGCAAAAAAAATCTATTTATAGTATTGCAATATGATATTATAATACATTATTACATTACAATA